TATGCTGTTTTCTGTGAAGTCATGGTTTCAGTTTCGTCAAGTCGTTGATATGCAAAATTATTATTGACTAAGCATTTTGAAATATCCAACATACTCAATCATTTTCAGAATGAATTTTAAACATTCCTTTCCCTGCAGCATATTTTTGTTTACATTCTTGTACTCGGTACTTATGAATGAAAACAATGAAATCGTTTAATGGCGTCCAAGAATTTTACGATGTACAACCTTTATTATGAAATTTCTATGAAAAACAGAAGGTATGGTGATTATCAGAATCTAGATTTTATTACTGTCCTATAGATAAATTATCATCACATTTTACCAAGTTAAAACTATTTTAAAATTTACCTACTACCCATTTGTCTGTCTAATAATAAAAAACGGAAATCGTGACTTTTTTTCTCTTTGGATTTCTTGTCTATTTGTGTAATGAAAAAGCAAAATCAACCACTGAGAAAACCAATATTAAATGATTTATTGACTCAAATTCTCAATTCAGTGTTAAAGCTAATTAGCATATCAATCCTTCTGTAATATTATAAACGCTTAGTTTGTAATTTTTGGCTCCGAATAAAATTTAACAAAAAGATAGATAACACTCTAGAATATCACATAGGCGTTAACGTTTATCGTTTATCTTGACACAAAGTCGCTGACAAAAGTGGTGTTTTGTAGTGGAACAAGGACTAGATACGTAATACTTTACTGAAAAAGTTCTTCAAATATTAATAATGTAATCACTGTACTCAGCTTATTTTTGGAGTTAGTTAACTTTATCATTGACGATTGTTTTAGTAAGAAAATTAGTTGAATGTCCCTGAGAACAACAATTAATGTCAGTACTTACTAGAAAAAATATTAACATAATTACTACCGGTCACCATTAAAACATAGATGAAAAATATTTTCAAAGCTATAGTGCAACCACAAAGGTTTGTTTTCATTCAAAGAATATGCATAGTCTTGCACAGGGTCTGAAGTTTAATAACATTATAACAATGGCGTTTTAACTAAGTTACGTGTCTGTTGTAGCTTGTGTATTGCTTCTTTGTAATTATAACTAATCGTTTTACTATTATAATAATATGATGCGAGTATAGCTGCTATTATGTGCAATATTTACTATGTTTTTCATTGAATACACGACTGATTGCACAGAACATTTTTTATGTTCTTTTCAAGAACCTGTATGATAACCTACTTAACAGAAAATCGAAGTGAAACAACCGCAGCATTGTGTTTTGTTTTGATTCACCGGTGTGTATTTACAATCCTTCCCCGTCTCCCATCTCATTTCACAACAATCACTAAATCCTGAAGCCTGAAATGTCTAAATCCAAAGTCCATCCATCCCGATCTCCAATATCCCTGATCCCCAAACCCATAAGACAGGAAGGCACTGACAACTCCTTTGGTATTGGCAATCCCCATCAGATAATCTGTCATGTCGTTTTGCCACCGTATCACATACAAAAATAAGAACCTACTTTTATACTCCGTCAGGACCTTGAAAAAAACCATCGTCATTTAAAACCAATAACCAAAATAAGCTAATTAAAATATGAAAGTAAACTATCAAGAGTAATTAACGCTAGTATTTACGAGTAAACTATAAAGTTCATTAGCTCTTGACCGCGACCACGAGCGCCAACCGCTGGCTGCTCGCGGTCACTTAATACGTAGCCATTGTTTGTATCGTTTCGAAACAATTGTTTGTTGTGACTATGCTTCTGTGGTGTGTGATGGTGTTTAAGGAACCTTTGGATTTAAAGTTAGCTTCAAGTCAATGTGTTTTGATTGGAGAATAAATTTATGTTGGATTATTTGAATTTCTTCTAATTTTGGTTTTAGAAAGCCGAATTTAAAATGGGTGCGTTTTCAGCATTAAAATTTGAGAAGAAATTGATGATAATTTAATTTCGTTTGGAAAAATTATATTATATCAGAAATAAATAAATTAGTTCATAAAAATAAGGAATAAAACTAATATATTTTTTTTTAATTTCATGTTATCATCAGAATAGCAGTGTATAAGGCATGTTTATATTAAGATTTCAAAATTAAATTATTTTTAATGCTTATGCTTATTGTGAAAATTTTGTAGTACGTAAAATAACGGATTTGCATTTTTTACTAGACCGTTATGAAATGGCAGGATGTGAATATTTCATCAACATTTTTGTATAATATATTATACAAAATGCTGTTGAAATTTATTGTAATATATTAAATATTTTTCATATTAAATTTAGTATTTCTTCACACAAAAAATTGCTTATTTTTAATGTATGCTAAAATAACTTTTGTAATAAATAAATTTTAGGTCGACAAACGTGCAAATTCGTGAATGAGAATAAAATTAATTAATATTATAAAATCAAAAAAAATCGAACTATTCAACTTTTTAAATGTTTTTTACATATTCAAAGTTTAAAATACATTTCTTAAACTAATCACTATACTTATAAAACAAAAGATTTTTTTTTAACTCTAATTATACGAACAAAAACTTTTGTTCAATTTCAAATCTATAGAGTCCAAGAGCAGTCTATAAGGCCCAGCACCATCTACACCGTTTCTAAATCAAAACAAAAGCAAATTACGTAAGATCACTTGTCCATGATCTAAAAGAATCAATCAGTTGACATCATGGAAGTATGATGAAATTTAAGACTCGTAGCACCTTTGAACACAGATAAGCAAAAAACCTAGTTAAAAACACGGAATAAAGTTTCTATTTGATTGACACTAGTGACAATGTCAACGATAGTGTTAAATAGTCAGCACTATATAATGTTACAATAAGACTGCCTGGTCTAAACCACTGAACTGGAGAACCGGGGCTGTGACGTAATATTGTCGTTGCAAAAAGGCTCTAAATGTTGCTAAACTTACAGTGAATGGACTAGAAATAAATTAAAAATATGGAGCAGTCATTTCTTATTTTCATTAAATGTTACATACCTTGTATAGTGAAAACCTCTTCTTATAGCGCTTGACCCACAACCCCGGCTGAATATTATCCCTATTGGGACCCCACAGTGGTGGATAATTAGCTCTTTGAGGTGCGCCCGGTACGCTACGCTCGCTTCAGCAGACCCAAGCTTGAGGTGACCGAAGATCCTCATTTCCGAAGTGCTTTCTACTAGTCCTACTACAGCGCAGCGGCTGGGTCTGGATAGAAGATAGTTTCCTTGAGTGTTTTGCCTCCGTCTTTGCGAACATCATTGCATATCACTGCTTCGCAAACTAACTACAGTTCTCTGAGTTATTAAATAAATACTGAACCCAGATCGTTACCAAAGAATAGTTTAAGATATCAATAAAATTCTCTCAATACAGAAATCAAAGTTCGTTTGACCAAGAAATAAGGTTTGTTACTTATTAGACATAAAAGGTAAAAGTAAGGCATGCCCTTTAAACTCATTCAATAGCAAATTGATATAAGTAGAGCGTTGCGCCAAGTGCAAAGAGTTTCATTTTCGAATCAACATAACTGTTTTTTTATGTTTTGAAGAACATTCGCTAAATAATATGAGGAAAAAGAGGTATAAATAAAGGTACTGTAATCCCAAGCTTTAGGCAACATGTTAGACTCTTGGTCATTTTAATTTAGGAAATTCAAACAAATAATAGAACTACGGACGGTTAAAAAAATATTTTTATCGAGTTATTAGGACACACATATATTTTTTTTAATTTTAAATTGAAGGTGCCAACCAGCTTTATGATCAACATTGCTAAATGTGGCCATAAAGGGTAAGTAATTAGGTTCGAACACAAAATAATTTTCGAAATGTATCCTTCAAAATATAAAACTTTATTAAATGTCACGAAAAATAACTAGTTTTTATTCCGCGATAGCGGAATTGTCACAGAGTTAAAACCAGATATTTTAATAACATTTAATGTGATGGATTCCCGCAAAGTAACGCGTGATTCTGTAGTTTATATAAAGCTTTATATCAAGTGCTGCAAAATGAGTGCCGTGGACTCTTCGACGTCTTCCTGTACCAGGCCACGGCATTAAGCTGAGCGCTAGCCAACTTGCGCTGTAGTGACTTAATGTTTTTTGTTGTACCTATATATTTCATTTATTATATTACTAAATAAATACTTTAAAAATGGAACATATTTGTAACGTTCATTTAATAGAGCATATTTTTAATATGCATGTTTTCTTAAATAATCAAAATCAAGTCTTCTACGCAACAAAATGCTAGACGTACCTACAATGTAAAGATATATAAAGTAACATTAGGAATATGTATCTTAAGTAAATAATTTAAGACTGCGTACCTAAGCCTCTTACCATTACAATGGCATTTGACTAATTAAAAAGATATGCCTGTTAGAGATGTCAAAGAGATTTGTTCCGCTCTAATTAGAGGCATGCGCTACTGAGTAGGGAAGTTCAATTATTATCACAATGTAAGAACTTGCTACTAATGTGTTGTAAAGGTTTCGTAATATGACTGCGTAAATTAAAAGAAAAGTAGGCAATGGTATGTTTTCATTTATAAAACAGGTCGGCAAACGAGCAGAGGTTACCTGATGGTAAGCAAATGCCACTGCCTATGGACATCCGCAACATCGAGGAGTTACAAGTGCGTTGCAGGTCTTTTCAGGTTAGGATTTGAGAATCGGTGACATCGTGATTAGATGGGTTCTCCATCACTCACTCACGCCGAAAAACTCAACACAAGCAATATTTCACCAATTTTCTATGAGACCGTGGAATCACTCCGGTCCGGATTATATACTATGAAACAATGAGTCTTGAAGAATTAATGAATTTCGATTGAAAAAAAATAAAATCTTACCTATATAACTAACAACCACGGCCTTTTTGACTACTTCATCAGTCAAACTGACAAAACATATATAAAAAAAATTTGATCCGAAAAGTACCAAATGCCTTACGCTAGGCAGTACCAAGCTACCGCCTTTTAAATACGAGTACAACTAAGCATAATGTTGAAACTTTTTGGTTTCAGACTTTAAAATCAACATGCGACTTCATAAAAACACAGCTATGCACCATAGCAATTTCTCTGACGCTGTTCAATTCAGTTCGCCTTCCGAAAGAAGCGTTTAGACATGGGACAGTTCCGTACCTGGTGATCTACTCCTTCTGGCTGCTGGCTGCAGGGTTACCGACGACACTGCTACAACTTGCCATGGGTCAGCTAAGTCAACAAGATCCTGTTGGAGTGTGGAGAGCTGTGCCTATTTTAAGAGGTGAGCTTAAGACAATTATTTTTTTTTTGGTATTCGATACTTTTTAAGTTTTAGTAAAATTCTGCACAGTTATTTAATAATAATAATAATTAAATCATTTATTGGTGTTAACAAAAAAAAATATACAATATAAACCCACCAAACTGTTTAGACAGTTTGACGGCGGGAATTTGGTCTGGCAGTAGGGAAATAAAGATTAATTTAACACAGAGATAGTAATAACTACTGAGCCGACTAATGGTTACAATTTTTCAAGCAAATGGTAACAAAGATGGCTTTATTAAAAAGTAGGTATTTTAATCTAGTATCACTAAAGCCTTTGTTTGTAAATTGTCTTTGCTTTTTTTTTTGTTTTGTTATGAGGTAGGTCGGCAAAACGAGAGCAGGCGGATTACTTGATGGTAAGCAATCGGCGCCGCCCATAGACATCCGCAGCACCAGATAAGTTACGGTTGCGTTGTTAGTCTTTTGGGTGTTTCGGATATTTAGCGATCGGGAAGAGATGGGGGAGAGAAAGAGGGATTGGGCCTCCGGTAACCTCACTCTTGGCGAAACACAACGCTGTGGTTGTTTTACGCCAGTTTTATTTGAGGCCATAGTATCAATCCGGTCGAGCCAACCCATTCGTACTGAAGCATGGTTCTCCTACATATTTTTTAAAAGTTGGTAATAATTTTATTGTCACAGAATTAAATTCTGATTCCTTACATGTTATAAACTTGTTTGGGCCTTATCTAGAGCCTAATATGTAATATATGCAGTGTAAATATGTACGGGATACATAAGCCTGATGTTAAGCCTACGGGTAGATAAAACTTAGCTCTCTTGTAGAGAGCTGCAATCCGATTATAATGTTAACATATGTAGGTGAAATATTATAATAGACTAGCTTCTACCATCTTTTTTTCCACTGTACTAAGATCTAAATCTAGATATTGTTATTCCAGACGATCATCTATCTCTGTGCTCAGTTTTATTCAGCCCAGTTTAGTAGTTTTAGTTAAAGAATATTATAACAAACATTATATTATAACAAATAATATATCAAACATTCATACATGATTGCTCATGAAAATTAGTTTATAATATATTATTACATATATTGTGGAAACACACTATAGATCCAAACTAATATTATAAATGCAAAAGTAACTCTGTCTGTCTGTCTTTTCTTCACGCCAAACTACTCAACCGATTTCTATGAATTTCGGTACAGACATAGTTTACAAATCGAGAAAGGACATATGATAGTTTAATACCAAAAACAGCAGGAAGTCACTATTCCACGCGAACGGAGTATCGGGCAAAAGCTAGTAGTAAATAATGTCAGATCTTAGTGTAGCAAGCACTTGTTTAGTATGAATAAAGTCTAGATTATTTTTCATACATTCGTAGCATTCCAAATGAATATTGTCTACTGTTTGTAAACATTATAACTATGTTTCTCTTTTAATCGAATAATAAATTGATTTATTTCATTGTGGAATCCGTATACAACTTGTTCATGACTCTAGGATAAGCTGGATTCCAGTGTATCCATGTTTTCTTGTTTCTTGCATTGAAAATTTGCAACTAGAAATTGTTGATAATATTATTATTTAGTTAAATGCTTAGTATATAATATCACCCTTATGCTTGTGGGACATCGGTGTCAAAATTTAAATTCATTTTCCTAATATTACTGAATTATTAAAATTAGTATTAAAATCTTTGTAGTCATACAAAAACTAAACCAAGAAATTATGTATACTTTTCACAAAAACATAACTAAACTTTTAGCGTAAAATGTGTCAGAATATTCATAAAGATATTCAAGCAATAAATCAAAGTTTTAATACTCATAAATCCGTGTAATATTTTTTCAGGTGTCGGCCATTTAAAAGTGCTGACGTCATATTTATGCTGTGTTTACTACATGATGTATGTAGCTCTGTCGTTTGCCTACCTCCTGTGGATAGGCAAGGGGTCTTTCCCTTTAAAGGATTGCACTAAACTACACATAACGCCGGTAAGCCGCTTTGTATTCCATTGTACTATAAAGTAAGGGTATTTTAATAACTGCAGGATAGAATTTTAATATGGAAAATGTAAAATGCTGGTTGTTGAAGTGTCTTTGTGTGAATAGAGAAAGATTAATTTGATAATTTTGTTGTTTTCAAGCAGTTTTTAATGATGCAGTTGATGATAGGTTTAAGATAACTTACAAAAAAATATATTCCTCAATATTGTATGAAGTTCCTTTATATATTTTAATATTTTGTCATGCATTTTCGACAGTAACATTGCAATACAATATTTTGATTTCGTGGTTATTCAACTATACTGTTCTCAACTTCATTTATATATTTTTTTAAATTGTTGAAGCAATAAACTTTTATTATTTATATTAATTTTAATAATTACATTCTGGTTGAAACGAATCCTTAAATGAATTATTACGTAGCCTAGTGATCATAAAATCAATCGTTAAAGTAGATGACTTTATCACCTTTTTATATTTATTTTCTGTTTCAGAATGGATATGAAAATAAAATGAACGCAACCGAGTGTTTCAGGTAATATAACAATTTTAAACAATAGCTATTATTCTCATTATTGTTCACATGATTTATTTTGTTCTATTGGATATTTTACATCCTGCTACTAGCCTTACCTAGAGCTGAGTACTGAGTTATTAATTAATATTAAAGCAAACTTTTATTTTGAAAGTGACTAAAATCACTTGAGTTCCTTTGATGTTACGAGTTTGTCCATCAGAAAAGCGAGGTATTTATGGAGGCTCTCATTTTGCTCATTAGATATTATCAAATAATATAATATAATCTTGTATTTTGGTAGAATGGGAAAATACAAGAATTTCAATTGGGCGCCATCTGAAGATTTCAATTTTTGAAATTCAAAGTCTTTAACGTGTGATACTATCTATACAGTGATTGGATAAAACTGACCGCTTAATTAGAACCATCTAGAGAGCAAAATAAACTGTAGCCTCCAATACGTCCTATCCCCTTAGACTGTTTTCCCATTTTTGACTCCGTCTCTATTTAATAAATAAAAATAAACTAATTAATAAAGCTATAACTATAATTTTAAGACTTCTTAATACCATTTGAACTTAGTGGCAGTAAAATACAATGGTTAAAAACGATTTTATAAAATGTTTCAGTTCAACATTTTTGGCGCCATTCACAGAGTACCCGCAGTATCTCGGCATAATGGCGGTTTTAATATTTCTTCTTTGGTTCTTCATTCCCGCTCTGTAAGTATTAAGAGTATTTACATTTATAACTATTATTATTACGTATGTTCTTTCCTTTTACGGGATCACAGGATCCCGGACCTTTGGAAGCTTTACGAGGGACCGAAGCCAACTCGCAGAGGCCATTTGAACAGTTTTAATCTAAAAGTGATTGGACATCAGCTGGCAATTTTCCTTGTATGCACATAACTATATATATATTACTTGGTTTCGCTCTCCAACCACGAGAGAAGCATAAGCAACCCAACATTCTATTACCATACCTAGAACTACCTATACCTGTAATCAAAGTGGGAATCTACCTCTATGAATAACCAATTTCAAATAATGGAGGCTACATACCCTGCAACTGATGTATGTAGAGAAATGAAATACCTGAACAGTGCGTGTGGTCTTTGAATTTCACGGAACAGACAAAGCAGACCTGAGAACAATGCGTTTTGAAACCTTTCAACGAAATAGATGATGGAGACGGATTGTTTCAACCAATTTAGTTAAGCCGACTGCAATTTCTATGTAAGGGTTTTAGTAAATGTTACTATTAAATACTAAATAGGCAGTCACATTTATACTTATGGATTTTTTAAGTAATTAAAAAATTACAAATTGAACTGTACCTACTTATTTCAATTGTATTTTCTAGTAGCATGAAGTCTTTAAGAACAGATCATATCTTTTCCGAATTTATTAAATATAGTAATGATAAAATATATAACAGTCTACTAGCTGACCTGGTGAACTTCTTTATGTCTCAAAAAGTTGTTTTTCAGGTTTAATCGCAATTTTTCTATATGTACTTAAAACGCTTAAAACTTACGTACCTGGACATTAACGAATATTTCATGAAAGAAAAACTATATCACTTCAGCCGTTCTTGAGTTTTAGCGAAACTAACAAACATTTTAGTTTTGTTAAAAAAAATATAAAATTCAAGTCATTTTTTTTCTACTTTTCAGTTTATACCGCCTTCACAAAACCCTGAAAACGACACTTGGAACCATTAGCGTGATCATTGTGGCTATTGCCATATTACTCTCTACATTTCTGGCTAAGACTGCGGTACTTGATTCAATGTTCGAATCGTGCGTGCAATGGTCTTCGCTGTCACAGCCCTACATTTGGCACAGTGCTCTAGTGCAAGCTATAATGTCTACGCAAATTGTTAGTGGATATCTGACCAGCGCTGGTGGATCCGTTTACAGACATTCTGATGTTCGGTGGTAAGCTAATAAACATTGATTTAATTCACACATTGAAAAAATACTTTGTTTTTTTTTTTTTGTTTTGTTTGCGAATTTGGCATCTTATTGTATAGGATTAATTTCCATAATAAAAACACTAATATTAATATCTCTTTTCTCGATTTTATTTTTATTTATTTATTCTATATAGTTTTTTACATATCATTTTGACGCGTAGAAATGCTGTTTTATGCCCTTCATTGTTTCATTGTATAGTTAGGTAATTTTAAAGCAAAGTAAACGTTTTTGATATAAAAATAGATTTTGTCATATGGCTTATTCATAAAACTGTACACAAATTTTTAATTTTATCTGATTCCAGGACATCAGCATTAATTATTATGACAAACATTTTCGCTGGTTGGCTCTGGGTGCTTCTCTGGGAATCTATTGGAGACACTGGCAGAAAAGACACAAGTTTTATATCAATTCTAGTCTTAATATACCAATCTTCTGTCTCCGAGAGAAGAAATAAGGAATGGCCTATACTCGCATTTGGAGTTGTTTTCTTCTCTGGTATTATTAGTGTGGTAAGTGGTTTTAATCAACTTGTTTATTCTTTCGCCATCTTATAAGAAAGGCTTTTTATAATTATTAATTGACTTATCCCGCCTTGTTGCCGGTGCCCAGACCCGGGACAACTAATTGTTGTTACGATAGTGGATGTGATGTGCATTTGAAATACCAAAACCACAATACATGAGAAAATCACAAAGAACAATGTACAAAAAAATCATATTCCTCATAATTCATTCAATATACATAAATATGGATGATAGATTGAAGATGTCAAGATATTCCTATTGATTGGTGGCAGTATCGAAGTATATATACTTAACCAAAGAAGAACTATTAATATGTTCTAATTATCTGAAATATAAAATTTACCCACAATATATTATTAACCTTAGACCAAAATTAAATTGAACTCTGTGGTAAAACAGTAACTTGAACTGGGATCTAACAGTCTGTTCCTAACTTGTGGCTGTAACTTTAACATTATAAGTTGCTAGCAATTTCCAAGAATATTTTAGTGTTAAAATTACTTAAAACTGTAACGAACACCGTCTTTTGATCTTTTAAAATTATAGTACCTAGGTACATTTTTGTGAAGCCCATTAAATGCCTGCCTTAGTCTTTTGTTGCCTGTTGCTAAGTAAAGTTATTGATCTCAAGACAGCTGACTTAAATAAATAATAAAATGGATACTATAATAATAACTCATTTATCTTATAGTACCTAATTAAGTTCATCGATGATCATCGATAAAAGTATTTAATTAGTCATTAGGTATATTCATGACTAGCTGACCTGGCAAACTCCTGTTTCAAAATTAACTATTTTATGTGACCTTGAAAACCTAATATGGACATCTGCGAATATTTGAAGGCAAAATAAATCAAATAGAATCAACGGTTCTCGTGTTTTAGCGATACTAACCAACGCCATTTTATTCTTAGAGCTATAAGTTGGAATCCTAAATAAAATTGTTTAAAATTCTCAATTTCGCCAGCGCTTTTGTAGGTCAAAGGGGTAGCTATTCAAGAGTAAAGAAGAAAAACAATGTAGAAGAGAAACTTTCAAAGAAACGAACTCTATAATACACATACACTACGTTTTTTTTTCTTTCGAAAAGTCATCGTGCATGTTATGCTTGGCTCCTTCATATCAACAATTGTTTATTGCCTTTCAGTTAATACTCCTATATCCAGTATACGATAAGCTCCACCGAGTGACTGGAGATCACTGGAGGGTCTTTGCTTGTGCCACATCAGCTGTTGGTACTGCTCTTACAGTAGCAGTTCTAGCTCGAGGGTTGGAAATAGCCACCATGTTAGATGAACTGATTATACCAGTTCTGGCTGTCTTCACTTCTGCCGTTGAAGTGGTTGGCTTTGTATTTATCTATGGTGAGTATAATGATTCCTTATTAACCCAGTCCATAGTATTTCTTCCGAGACAAAATCATTATTAAAGAGTAGTTTAAGTAATAATTAATTGTTCCCAAGTACGCCAGTGCATGCTGAATGAAAAATATGTAAATATTTTTACACATAAATATAAGGATGGTAGTAGTAGGTAGTAGTTTAATCCAAATCCAAACTAATATTATAAATGCGAAAGTAATTCTGTGTGAAATTTGGAACAGATATAGCGTGGAACTTGAGATATAGGATAGTTTTTAAACCAAAAATCTGCAAGAAGTCACTATTCCACACGAACACAGCCGCTGGGCAAAAGCTAGTTTAGAATACAGACACAAGACTCAAACTCCAAAATCCAAAGAACTACCTATTCTTGACAAAAATGGTTACTTATAATTTTCTTTTGTACTTTACAGGCTGGTGTTATCTCACAGTTGACATAGAATTCCTAACAGGTTCGAAGCTTCCTAACTTCTGGATAGCCACGTGGTGGCTTACTCCAGTTCTCATAATTGGAGTCACTGGCTGGTGGCTTCGAGCATTGCTACGAATTTCCTGGGGCAATGGAAACACCCTTTGGCCTTTGTTAGCAGTATTTTTGTTGATATTAATTGTCATGGTGATATTGGCTGCTAGGGCTGTAGCCAAAGAGGAACAATTTAATTTATTTTCGGTAATTCATTCTTTATTATTTTTTTTTTGCTAGCCTATATTGTCCCACTGCTGGGCAAAGGCCTCCCCATCTCGCTTCCACACCTCCCGATCCTTCGACCGTGTCCACCAGTCTCGACGATAGGCGTCTTTATTATTACTTTAGCAAATTTTATTTTTCGTCGCAGATGCTGTCCAATTATGGTTTTTGGTGAAATAAGTTTATAAAATTTTGGTCTATTGAAAAGTATACCCAGTCTTTGGTAACTACCAATGTTAAAACTCACAGTTTAAAAAGAAATGGGCACTTAAAAGTGGAAATCTTATCTGTACTAAGGAGTACTACTTACCGAGGTAGAACGAGGAAAATTAAATCTTTACCTTAACAAATAATTTTAAAAATTGTTTGTTTTAATGGAAGTATTTTTAGAACAGTATTGTCTTTTCTTAATTGAAATTTAATGGAAAACTCTTTAAGTTTGAACACACTAAAATTTTAGATAAAATTAATAAAAATTAAAGTCAAGATACTGATTACCGTTTATTGCTCCCACCGTAAACGAATTTTTTTTCGGGTTTCGACTCGCTTGTCATAAAACAAATTTATTACGAAAATTCAGTATAAGAACAACAAATCAAATTTAAACCTTATTCCTATATTTTACTAAATTATTTATCGATTGTTACAGAAATTAGTATCAGCATTCCGCCCATCCAGACTATGGGGTCCCGAAGAACCCATGGCGAGGTACGTGTGGATGTCTCAACGATACGTTCACGAAACTGTAAGCATAGACAACGATACTAACTCCGAACCGAACCACTACGCAAACGTCATGTACAGTAAAAATAAATATGAAGAAGAACTATACAAAAACGAAATATACCCAAGGACCTACAGTAATATATACCACCCAAATGATGATTATAAAACTGATTACTTATACGATGGAGGCATAAAATCGATCTACAGTATCAACACAATACCGAGAGGAAAGAAAAAGAGTATAGATGAAAATTACCGATCGCCAAATATATGCATTGCCAAAGGTAGATTAGGAGGACCTACTGAATGCAGCTGCAATAGACATTTCACATTGAACGTGCCTAATTTAAGAAGTAATGAAGTAACAACCAGTCTTTGAATACGTACAACGAAATGTAACCTAGTCGAATTATTTATTTAAATTTATGTGAACACTTGAACAAATATTTGTATGAGTAGCTTGTGATGGCAACAGATGTGACTAACACTAGAGTGATGTTATTATAATAAACGAAAACTTTTTAAATGTTGTGTTGGTTTTTAAATTGCGGTACTTTTATTATGTCTTTATCTTCCAGAGTTATTTATATCCTTGTTGACTACTAAGTATATAAAACTGGGTATGATCACCACAATACATGAAAATTTTTTGGACCAAGCCATCTATCAATAGTCGCATTTTAGTTTGGTACAAAGCAATTTTCTTACACAAAACTAATTATAGGTACTATAGTAAAAAGTGCATACGTTTGAATGCGACTCCCTACGAGTAGATACACATTTACCTACCCATTTGGTAACAATCAAGGTGCTCCTTTCAAAACAAACATTGCCAAAATATAAATAAATGGAGACTCCAAAAAGCTATGTTAAGAAAGTTAATCATAATTATGCCCGTAATAAAAATAGCCATAAGTCTACCTGTACTTATAAATAGGTACTTACAATAAATTATGGAGTCCCTAAGGAATGTCGAGGCAGCCACTTAGAAGCTCCCACTATAATAAGGGAAGGCGGAGATCAATTCTTAGGGAAGGACCACACAATACCTTTCCGACTACAAAGACACTAAATTCAAATATGAACGAAAAAAAAATCAAACATTTGAAATGAGAACACAAATTTAAATGTACATTGTTCCTATTTTGAAAAGGCCCACGCGGGTGTAACTGACAAAAGAAACTTTCTTTTTTTGGCAAAGAAAAAAGAGAATGATAATCGTTCACACAGTGAAAGACGGGTGAGAGGGGGAAAAATGAGAAATGGACGAACTTTTTAACATAAATCTCGGACAAAAAGTACGAAAAGTATAACCTACTTGTGCGAATCCTGCCCCTCGGTTTGAGTGTGCTACGTTTTTCTTATATGTACATATAAAGTTTACTCTCAACTTCTGATGTTAGATAACTAGGCGAACTTACGTTAGTGTTCCGTAATATTTTTGTGTTTTGTTTTAGGGTCTCAGTGTTGAAGTGCAATCAAAAAGAGACCGTAGCATAATTTTTGTTACAGATCAAAAAACATTCTAATGTGTGACTTCTGATTGCTTGAAATCTAAAATGTTGGAAAAACTTTGGCAATATGCTCATTCTATACTGTCTACGGCTCCAAATGGGGATAGTGATGGCTACTAAAAAGTTATGTAGCCTTTGCTCTTCAGAGAGAGAGGTATCCGACATTATGATGATTTTCCCTCACAAAAAAAATGTAAGTGAATTACAAATTTGGAAAATGGTGAACCAGTAACTGGAAGTCAATGAAAATAATGTTAGTCATTTATATTTTTTTAATAATCACACCTACATCTTCCATTACTGATTCGATAGCGAAGTTACTTATATAAATCAAACAAAATATACTTAATACTAGTATCTTTAAAATAAAATACATTTTTAAATCAATTTCGCTCAATAAGAAATTACCGAATATGCTACACTTGTAAAGTCATTCAGTGAACAGTGGAATACATTTATCTGATCAGCTATTGCATTCGGTGTTTACTTTTAAATGTCTGCTAACTCCTTGGCTGAAAAACAGCCGTATATCTATACTATACTAATATTTTAAGAGGTAAAATTTGTAAGTTTGTATGTAGGGAGTAATCTTTGGAACCGAGCAGCGGGTGAAACCGCGCGAGAGTAGCTAGTATTGTATATTTTATTCTTTAGTCTTCAAATTGTTCTCTAATAACAACTAAGTAATGCATTGACATACATTTTTCTAATTACCATAATTCACAGCTACAAAATTATGTCAAGAAGTCAACTCAACATTGAAAGTATATAAAGCTAGGTATAAACTTGCCTTAGTTAGCAATTTTAATGATAAGGCACGCGTGCCGCATCGTTTTAGCTCTAATTTAATTGAATCACCTGCCCTTAATGAAAATAATAAAGTTTATCACGGCAACTTTAAGGTGTGGTTCCCTCGCTGCATTGTTGCAACTAATAATGTAGAAGAAATATGTTTCGCTGCAGGTATTCCGTTCCTTAGTAAGTGAACTAATAAGATTTTATTAATTTGTATTTAGTTTCAAACTAGTTTGTATTGAAAAATAAGTTTTAATATAGGTGAGATATTCATTATTTTATTTATTTTAACTTTAAATGAGCTTTTAGATGAAAACAATTTTACATTTTGAAACACACTCGAATTTTCTTCTGTATCGTATATAAACATACAAATACCCCATTTATAAACGTACAATTTAACATAAAACATATTCGACAAAGGTACACGTCCCACTCGAAAATCGTACCTAAGATACTTTGCAAGATTGCTACATAGCCAGGACTGCAAAATATGTTCTGATTTTGATATCATTTTAACTTGTAATGTTATCGTTTTATTTTTAGCTTTGGGAGCCATATTATAACTTTTTTCAACGTTTTTCTTAGTCGCAGCTGATTAAGAATAAAAACAGTCGCAACAACAAAACTCAGCCTTAAACAGATAATATAAAATTAAGGGTCGTGCTACCAGATGCCTGAATTTTTCAATATCTTGCTCGTAGTAAATGAGAATTTATTCGATAACAGCACTTGGACGCAGCTGGTGATAAATTATGGTTACTTAATCATATTCTCCGTCATTTTTGGGCCGGCCTCTAATATAAGTAAATTGACAAAGTTATTGTGTGGCTTTTGAACAATTTTTTTTAACTAATTTCGGCCTTGAAATTTTATGAAACTGATTAAAATAAAATTACAATTTGTCTCTAAATATTCCAAGATGGTGTGTTAACAGTACATATCAAGTAATTATTAAACAGTAGTAGGAATCCATCCCGGCTTTGCAGGGTGTCGAACCACCTCACTAACGATGAAAGGGCCTACCCTTTATTCCTAATTCCTCCCTATTTTTAACCGACTTCAAAAAAGGAGGAGGTTCTCAATTCGATTGTATTTTTTTTTTTTTTTTTTTTATTTTTTTTTTTTATGTTTGTTACCTCAGAACTCCGTCGTTTATGGACGGATTTGCAAAATTTTTTTTATGATTGAAAGGATATGCTTCCAGATTGGTCCCATTCTTTTCAAAATCAAGTTTTGATGATGGGATCCATGAGAAATCGAGGGAACTCCTCAAATATTATAGGCAACTATATAGTAATTTTAATATTTTCATAGAGCACTCAAGCATTTACAGTCAAAAAGTAATGTTTGATGAGGTGGAACTGGTGAAGAAGATCAGAAATGGATGATGAAACTTGACACTCGCATAGATATCACAATCAAGGTAGTTCAGCAACTATGAAAATGCACTGTAAACCAATGATCTTAAATAATTATGTTGGAAATGTTATCATCGAACTGATTTAATGATGATTATGGAGCTGGAAGGTAGGCACTGGAACTGCGTACCTAATTAATATATCCTAGCCGTGTTTGGGCTTGTTAGAATTGTTATAAGATGCACTTTGGCTGTAAGGTACTATTGAACTGATGTGATGATGAAGCTGGAAGGTTGGCATGGGGCCTAGTATTGTGTAAGCTTATTAGAGCTGTCAAGAGCAATGGAAAGAGCTATGCTCATAGTTTCCGTGCATGTTCGAATCAGAAATGAAGAAATCCGCAGAAGAACCAGCGTCACCGACATAGCCCGAAGAAATGCCAAACTTAAGTGACAGTGGGCACGGCACATTGCTCGTAGAACAGATGGCCGATGGGGCCGAAAGGTTCTAGAGCGGGACCGCACACCTTTGGGGGCGGAGTTTGGCCTAGTATTGGCTATTTTGCATTAGTCCACGTGGACTGCGTTTACACATTAGTGGTGAAATGCGTCATTGTGTTCTTATCGTTTTCCTGGTAATAGGCTAAGAGAATTAATTGGCATTTTTAACAAAACAGTCGTTTTAAATGGGTTACAAAACAATAATTGCGTCGTACAAAACAATAATTGTGTTTCTTTTGTGTGCACATATGTAGATAATACTTACTTAAAAAAGGTTCATACATTGAATGAGTCATAAATGTATATTTACAATAGCGATGGTCTTTTATATTTTTACCAACTTGTCTATATATGAATGTTCTTAGTAATAACAAAATAGTATTCTTCATTTAATGGGTTACAATTGATACAAAACAATAATTGCATTGGTCTTTTTTCTATGTACGAATGTATTTAATCATAGATACTAAATTAGATTGCATTTGGTATCTTTGAACTTTATCTGTCTGTTGATGAAAATATCTAGTTTTTTGTTATTTGGCGAGAACTAATATGAATTTATGATAAGATTATTATTTTATTTTAACTATAAGTCATAAGTATCTCATGCATCATATCATCTCTCCTCGAGATCAAAACGATTACACAGTAACAATGTACTATGATATCTATTTCTACGTATAAGTATGACATTGGTAACTTTTTCAAAAGAAATGTAGGAACGATATTGACTTCTTTGCCATAACACATTATAATAAAAAAAAAAACACTAAACGGCTACAAATAAAAAAAAATTTTACAAAATAAAAAAACCGCCTTCAAAAAAAGTCAAACAATAAAAGTTCCTACACTAAAAAGTAAAAAATAACAATTTGAATTACTGTAAAAAAACTTAATTTATAGGTAAACTTATTTGACATTAATATTTTGCAAATATTCAAAATTTATTACTTATTTTTGGAGTCGGTGCCAGCCCATGCAAGGAAATACAAATGGGCAACAATCCCTTGAAAAACTACCTCTTACTTAATTATAAAACTACTTAATACCTATTTGCATACTCAAATATAGGTATATTAATTAAGACATAAATACAGATTAGACTTCTCTACAAAAAATGTCCGATTTGCACATTTTTTTAAATAAAAAATATGTACTTACAAAAACATTTTAAGTACATTGAAAATGTTTAAGCATTATGTACGAAAAATGGCACCGGATATTAAAAACCTAACTAACATTAAGTTTCAACATCAAAATGCTGGCACCGACTCCAAAAATAAGTAATAAATTTTGAATATTTGCAAAATATTAATGTCAAATAAGTTTACCTATAAATTAAGTTTTTTTACAGTAATTCAAATTGTTATTTTTTAC